TGTTTCTAATATCTTTCGATGTATTTAATATCACCGAAAAAAGATTTGTTGACATAAGTGACCCCTGTCTGTACGAGTAAACTACCATTGCGACACTGTATTTAGTTTCTAACATTTTTTCATAGTGAATTTCTTCCATTTCTACATATTTTTTTTCTGTCATGGATCACGTCTGGCTTAATTTTTATTAACGTTACAGGAATATTATATTTCTATTAGATCAAGTATCAGCCGACATCTAAAATAAGACATTTGATCTATTTTATCGCCGAACTCTAGTATTTCGTAACGTAAAGATAAGAAAAGGCCAATGTATACAGCAAATTCTTTCAGCCAGTAATCTTCATCGACAACAGGCTGCAACAATATTCTTATCCGGTTCGTATTCAATGTTAAATGCTATGAATACGTTTATATACATTTTATCGCACTAAGTTTCTTTTCGCATTTTCTATTCTATGAATATTCTTTGTTTAGTTGTTTATTTTGTCTGAAGCTACAATGCAATCCTGATATATTTTTAATTCGTTGAATTTATATTGATAAAGTAAGGCTGTAATCAGCTTCACCAACAATTTTATTTCATTTGATTTCCTTTAATATTACAATGTTTCCTTGGACCATTATAATATATTTGACCTAAACAAAAAATTTCCACTGACTTATTTCGAGCATCAACTACACAAATTCCCAATACAGATCTAAGGGAGGAAGGGGTTAGAAATTTATGTTCTCTAAATCTTAGGCTATAGTATTAAAATCTTATTTTGTTAGTGACGGCCAGTGAGCTTCAAGCTGTTCTTGTCTTATTTTATTAAGGACGTGATATGTTTGTGTATCTTATTAGTTATATGTTGCTGTTATCTTATTTATTCGTGATAAATATCGTTACGTGTCGGTGTAGTCAAATCGTAAAATGTAAGTCATAATGATAGATTGATTATTAAAGTTAATTAATTTCAACTTAATATTCCTTTTTATCGCTTTAACGTTTTATTAATTGAATGAATGAAAATAGTTTTATTATTCTGTGACTAGTAACCCTTTAAAACAAATTATATATACGGAATAAATATTAATATTCTGGTTTGTCCATAACATACAATTAAATATTTACAGAATGATTAGAGATAAAATAAAAGTACAGATAATGAAAAGATATACAAACGTTCATAAATATAAAGTAAACAGAGAAAGTAAAATAAATAAACAAAACATCAATATAGAGGAGAGATTTGAAAGAGGATACTGACTTTCTTGCGTGTTGAACACCAGAGGGGATAGAATTACAGAGTGGAACATCTTTAATTAAAAAGGCTTTATGAAACGCCTCAGTTTGGTGAGGGGGAGGATAGAGGTCGGACGTACGGGATCTAATGGGATGGGATTAAAAGGAGCATTAGAATTGTAGGATCTGTAGAATATAATAGAGCCGCCGATTTCAGATAGCCTGGTATAGGAAGGTAATAAGAAAATACTGACGGTGGTAGGACGGATAAAGCCAATTCAACTCGGTATAAAACTGGGTAATATGCGCATCCCTTGAGATCCCTTGAGCAATTAATTGGAGGAATAGTACGGCGGGAAATTTGGGAGATGTGTGTTTCCAGAAGAGGGTTTGATCAAGGATCAAACGCCAAGGTTTTTAACGGTAGCATGGAAGGAGATAGGTGAATTGTTCAGGAAAAGATTGGGAGGTATTGAAATGGATTTGAGGAGTGAGGGGAATCCGATCAGGATGGCTTTTGTCTTCTCCGTATTTAATGTGATCTTATTAAAATTTGCCCATGCGCATATTCTACTGACTTCTTGTTGCAGTTTCAGGATAACATTAGAGAAATCCGCAGGGTTGAAGGAAAGGTATATTTGGTCTTCGTCGGCATGTAGGTGATTATTGACAATGCATGATAGACGAATGGAGGTCATTGATATAGATGGAAAAAAGGGTGGGGGAAAATGTGGAACCTTGCGGGACGCTTGTGGATAAGGGTAGGAATTCTGATGAAGGGTTATTAGGGACTACAACGTACTGGGAGTGACCGGGAATCAAATGCTTTAGAGAAATCAAGAAGGATCAGGATGGTGAGTTTCTGTTGGTGGAGATCTTGGGAGATTTTAATGAGGGCGGAATGAGTAGAGTAGATCTAAAACCGGACTGGAAGCAGTTTAAAAAGCTATTTTGTTCGAGATAGTGGGATAGTTGGGATTGCATTATTCGTTCTAAAGGTTTGGAAAGCTTTTATAACAGGAAAAATGGACGGAAATCATTAGGGGTTGCGGGAGGTTTTTTCAGTGGACGAACAAGGGCAGTTTTCCAGGAGCTGGGAAAAGTGAATTTTTGTGGTGAAAAGTTGTAGATATGATAAAGGATTGGGGAAATGGATAGAAGTGATGGTTTAATTAATTAAACTGGGATATTGTCTGGTCCTTAGAAATTATTATACAGGAAGAAAAATAACTTTAACACGTCTCCTTCAAATTCAACATAGAAAAAACTTTTCAGACGCATAATTTCTAAGGAAAAATTACCCCTGTAATTTTCATTATATTTATTTAGGTAGTGTTAAAAAAACCTCGGTTAGAGATGATTTTATAAAAAATCTTAAAAATTATAGGAAAAAATGTTATGTGTGCTTCTTTCCTTCATCAGTAGGCATTCATACGTGAGGTTAAAAATTCATATTCTTTATAATAGAAAATTTGTAATTGCGTTTTTGCTTTAGACAGGACATTTTACAATGCTTTAGACATCAAGAAACATTTTTCGTGTCTAAATGTAGTCTAATTCTTGGAATGGGTATATTATCCACAAATGAGGGTTCGCCCCTTATCAATTCCATTAAACTCATACTAATTTCTCTTATTGGAGCATAAATACAAATTCATGCAAGAAAAAGTGAAAAAATCATGCTGCATTAAATTTATCTAATTTCTTTCATTACTTCCCTTTATACGTGCGTAAACCTGTTTTCATGCTAAGGCTATAACTTAAAAATCACACCTTTAATTTGGTCCTGGAGAAAAGTTAGGGATTAATGAACAAATGATCAATATTATCATAGCTGATAAATAGTCAGGATGTAGTCCATTTTAAGGTTTTTATTGTTGCCGACGTTCCAAATCAATCATCTGGGTTATGTGCATCATCATCATGAGCTTGAGCACTGAAACTGTTCAAGTACTCAAGGTGTTTATGAACTGAAGGTGTTCGAGTACTCAAGGATTTCATGAACTGAAGGTGTTCAAGTACTTCAACTATTGAACTACTTAGTTCTCGAAACAATGCCCTGATGATTACCCACATGCTTGGGTTGAAACGACGACAGCAATAAAACCTTAAAAACGATTGCGTCCTGATTATTTATCGCTATGATATGTAGAACAGTTGATTAACTTCCTTCAATGAACAATATTATAAATTCCGTTTCAAGAAATTCTTTCACTAACGGACGTGCAAAACTATTTTCTTTAATATCCAAGGAGAAATAATAAATTCAAGGCCTAAGGTTGTGTAGGATGGTGATTTGTTCAAGATTAACTTCACCGGTCAGATTTTTCTTTTAAATCGATTATTGAATAAACGTTACCCACATTATAGTGCCTGAGTGTACTTTGGCGTCATGGTCAATCCTAGGTTGATGTGACAACAGAAGCAAAGGAGCACAGTGTCTTATTCACGAAGTTATCTCGCTTCCTTTGAGAGCTATTAAATAGGTCTTAAATAAGGGCGAGGTGACCGAGTGGACTAACGCGTGTGCACAGGTAACCGAATTATACATAATAAAACAATTACGAGTTCCTGTCTCGGTGCCGGTGGAGTTTTAACTCTGGTATTAGCCCCCCGCTCTCAACCTCTGGTAGGAAAAAAAAACCATGTAGCCGTAAAGGCGACGTAGGAAAGAATAAAAAAAATTCTCCTAAGTATTAATAAAGGTTCAGTGATCCTAAATAAATTGTAAATTTTGGGTGTTATAAGGAAGTTCCTATCTTAAATATCGTCAGGGATAATATATGTAGCTCTTCAAGTAGTTCTGTTAGTTGCATTGTCGAATTCTGAATCATATCGAAAATGCTATTCAATAACACCAAACAAAATGCTTTTGAATAATTATCAATGTACTCGAAAATATATAATATAATGCAAATACACAATTTTTGTTTCTTTTGGGTGTTTTGGGTCATGTAAATCTTCATCCACCCGCGGTCTTGATACCCAATCAATGTACTCGAAAATATATAATATAATGCAAATACACAATTTTTGTTTCTTTTGGGTGTTTTGGGTCATGTAAATCTTCATCCACCCGCGGTCTTGATACCCAATCAATGTACTCGAAAATATATAATATAATGCAAATACACAATTTTTGTTTCTTTTGGGTGTTTTGGGTCATGTAAATCTTCATCCACCCGCGGTCTTGATACCCAATCAATGTACTCGAAAATATATAATATAATGCAAATACACAATTTTTGTTTCTTTTGGGTGTTTTGGGTCATGTAAATCTTCATCCACCCGCGGTCTTGATACCCAATCAATGTACTCGAAAATATATAATATAATGCAAATACACAATTTTTGTTTCTTTTGGGTGTTTTGGGTCATGTAAATCTTCATCCACCCGCGGTCTTGATACCCAATCAATGTACTCGAAAATATATAATATAATGCAAATACACAATTTTTGTTTCTTTTGGGTGTTTTGGGTCATGTAAATCTTCATCCACCCGCGGTCTTGATACCCAATCAATGTACTCGAAAATATATAATATAATGCAAATACACAATTTTTGTTTCTTTTGGGTGTTTTGGGTCATGTAAATCTTCATCCACCCGCGGTCTTGATACCCAATCAATGTACTCGAAAATATATAATATAATGCAAATACACAATTTTTGTTTCTTTTGGGTGTTTTGGGTCATGTAAATCTTCATCCACCCGCGGTCTTGATACCCAATCAATGTACTCGAAAATATATAATATAATGCAAATACACAATTTTTGTTTCTTTTGGGTGTTTTGGGTCATGTAAATCTTCATCCACCCGCGGTCTTGATACCCAATCTCACGTTGCTGCGGACCATGATCTCCGTGATGCAGTAGCAGGTCATCCATAAGACCATACCTTTGGAGGTAATCTGGAAAATTCTTTCTACCGACTCACTTAGGGTTCAATGACAGTGGCAAATTGGTTTAGCTCCGTGGAATATAGTTGCTCAGAGGCAGCAGACACATGTGAAGCTATTTTTCTATCCTTGAAATAGACCGTCCATGGAAAAAAATCTGGGGGGCAACTGACATCCTTGAAAACTACATGAGAATTCCCGATTTATGTACAAGGAGTAGGGTCATCATTTGTACGTCCGGTCGATGTGACCGGTAGACTGACTGTCTAGCATACCTGGGGGAAACAGAATTCTTTTTATTTTACTTTTACTTTTAATAATTTGTATATGTATAAATATGTATAGGTATATATGGGCATAAATAACGAGTTATAGAAATGGAATATCAACTAATAAGAAAGTTAACTTTTCTTCAAAATCTCGGAGTTTAAATATAAAATAATAATTATTCTAACTTTTGAGAAGTTCATAAGACCGTAAGATTATATTTTGAAGAACACATGGAGATCCACGGGAGGGAGGGGGACTTTAGGGCTGAAGCCACATTCCCCTCCCCAAAAAAATGGTAAAATGTAACCACTTTTATGATAAAAAATTATCTCTTAAAGTTCGAGTAATTACATTTAATAGGACTTCAAGAATCACTTAAACATCATTTCATACAGGTAGTTAGTATTTTTCTTTTTTATTTCAAAGTAATTATTCTTATAAATATATATATGAAAAAAAGCTTTCCGCCTGAAGCTCGCTTTACCAAAATTAAATCCTGGATCCGCTAGTGCTGTAGAATGTATATGTATAATGTTAGCTCGTCAAATAAATGTAAAAACGCAAGATAAATTTATATTTCAAAACGAGTAAATTAAGAGTTTAAAATCAATGACCATTCAAGCTTTATTAGCTTTAATTTCAGACACAATGGAGGGATCAGTTACTCAGGGCCATTGGAGAACCTCTCTAGGAGATGTCAAACTAAGTCTCATCATCATTTCCAATGATTTTTTTTCTAGATACTTTAAAGAAGCAATAAACCTCGTCATATACAACCGGAGCAGTAAAACACTGCCAATTAAATTTACATTTGTGGGTTGATAGTTGTCTGTATTGAATAATGAAGAGAAGGACGATTGGGGTGATCAATCAAAATAAAAATGGCAAAAATAAATAATAATGTTTATTTTAACATTTGCCGACGTTTCGTCCCGAAGTTCAGGCCTCCGTCAGGGCTGAGAAAAGAACCAGATAACAATAGGTATGAGAAACTTAAACAATGTAGGTAAAAAAAAAAAAAACTGAAAGTAAAATGAAGTAAATAAGGGAACATTAAAGTAAAATAAAGTAGGTAGAATAATAAAAATAAATAGTAATAACGCCTAAAAAGTGCGGACTAAGTAAACATAATCAAAATCAGGTAACATAAGAACTAAAAATGGTAATCTTAGAATAAAATGTAAAGCAGAGAGAAGAAATATGAAGTTATATAAGAAATAAATATAAACAGAAAAATTGAGATATTTTAAAATTTAAATATACCTTTAAATAAATAAAATCTAAAAATATAATTACGAATACTGTAACATAAACAATTAACGCAATTTTTGGAGGAAAATTAGTTCTTCAAGATTTCAATATGAAGTAAAAATAAGCATTGAAAAATGTTTATCACGACAAGCGGGTAAATGAGAAATAGTGGTGGGGGACGTTTACTAGATAGTCAGTTCTATTCTGTCATCGCTCCAGGTTAGTAGAACTCTCATTATTTCAATCTACTTTTTTATATTTATAATTTCTATCACAATTCATAAAATAATTTTTATTATAATTGAATACATTATGTAACTGTATTATATATTATGTAATTATTTATACTAGTGTCCGCCAAGGTGTCAAAAATCTACCATAATCATTATTGAACATTTGAGGAACACATAAATGAATTCATTTGTTTCTAACATATTTTTTCTACTCTTATATATTCGTACATTCACTTTTATATGTAATGACAAAACAGTGCAGTACCATTTGTTTTCTTCTTGAGTTAAAGGCAAATAAAAATGTTGAATACATCGTAACTTCTTTCAAACAAAAAATTTAACCAGCTTCCCTCGATCAACGAAAATTCGAGGAGAAAAAAAAAACAGTTTTTGAATACAATGAAATTTCATATTTAAGGGTTTTCCAGGTTCCAGATTTTCTCCTTCAAAGAATATATGAAAAGAAATTTCTCAATATGTCACTTATATTATAGCTATATTTCAAAAATAAATCAATCTTAAACAGAGATCTTCTTAAAAATATAAACCGAAGAAAATGTTTTAAAAAAGACAACAAAATATCTTATCAGACATGATTCTTTTCTATTTCGATGATTTATTTACATTTTTTTTTTCTTTTAGTATGGATTTTTGGAAGCTTTTAAAATACTCATTTGATTCTAGCCGCTGTTTATATCTTTGTATAACATCTTAATAATATATATTATAGTAATTACATTACAATACATGTAATAATTGATATATTAATTTGTATCAATTATAATTCAATATAATATTAAATGAAAATTAAAGCAACTGTATTGACTGAACAAATATAAACTATGAATAGAGAAAAATTGTTTCTGGATTTTTTCTCCGTCGGACGGAAATATTATTTATATATGTATAGAAAATAAATTATCCCATATGTTAAATGTATTAATATTTTTAAATTCTATAGAAGATCGGAAACCAAATACTATAATCCTTTAAGTTTGATAAAATCGACAAAGTATAGTTGAAATTTACACTTAATATCATAAAACTTACTTTCAGTGCTTCTTAATCCGTTTCAATCAGGTTTTCGTTTTGTTACCCACACATAATATGCTATGCTCACCCAAGAATTGTTTTCTTTGTAACTAAACGTAAAATCGCAATTCGAGTCCTCTTTGACTTCTCAAAAACCTTTGACTCTGTTGATCATGCGGTTATTCTGTCTAAACTTCACAATATTTTCCTACTCAATTTTGCATTAAAGTGGTTCCACTCCTTCCTGTCTCATCGCTCTGAAACCGTCATTATTTCTAACAAACTTCTCTCTTAATCAATGTTCCTTCTATAACGTGTACCTTAGGGATCTTCTCTGTCACAAAAACTACATTTCATCAATATAAATGACCTACATAATATGATCCATCAGTTCCAGTGACTTTTTATTCTTATGACCAACTAATATTTATTACCTTCCAACCTTCCGACGTGCTTGTGTCATCTCATCCCGGATGACATTAATAGTACAGTTTATACCGTTGGGTAATAAGTTCTGTTTGGAGAGAAAACTAAAGCAATTCTCATTGCTTCAAGATCGTTTTTCAAGATCTTTCTCTATTTTCCATGACTATATCTCAACAACTAGTCCTGATGAATGGCTGAAACTCAGGTCGAAACGTCGGCACTTTTTTCATATTTTAACTTAACACCACATTCAACTTCTCTTCTATATATCTATGGCAATCAACTATCAATCCACTATTATTAAAAAGGTTTGATGACTCATTCAGAAAAATCATCAATATCTCAACTGGAATGACTACATTTCTCAAATCATTTGAAAATTTATCTTAGTCCTGAAACCACTCCCATGATTCATTTCCTCAATGTACCCGTCATCTCCTAGTTTCCTCATTCTCCCCGCTTTGACTAGGGTAGCTTAGTGTATGGAAGGCCACTCATCTAGTGAGCACGAGATGATACAATTTATTTTTGGTGTTCCCAGGCGCCCTCATATCTCTCACTGGTATTTGAAGACTTTCCTCTTTCCTGGTTTCCGAAGGCAATCTTAGACGACTAAATGTTCCAGAATGGGGATAAATTTGTTGTATTTGTTTTAATTGAAAAATAGTAGATTGTTTGATTGTTTAATTAACTCAGATCACTCACAGATGAACTACTGAAAAAAAAAAAATGTTTCCTATTTGGATGGAGCTCCAGCCTGCAAGTTCTCCGTTCTTCACATGGATCCACCAGTGGCAATAATCAACTCACCAGTCGAAATTTGACCAATTTCGGCTTCATCGAGAAAGAGAAAGTTAAAAGCAAACCAGAAAGGGCAAATCCGACATTTACAGCCTAAAAAGAAGTAATCATCTACAGAGAATACCTAGCTCTAGGATATTTCAACTTAACCTAATAAGATGACGATGATTACGTTAACAAAAGTGAAAAAGGTTCCATCCAAATAGATTATTAGCAGAAAATTAAGATACCAAAATATTCACATAATATAATTCAAAAGACCGTATAGTTACCTTAGAAAATAATTTGAAATATCACGATATATTTTTATCATAACAACTTTATATCTAATCATTACGAAATTTATAACTTAAGTGGGCTGGAATTGGTAAAGAAAATGATAAAGTATGCACTCATAGCTTTTAATTTCCGTATCAGAAGATTCGTAAGCAAGATAAACTAGTATAAGAATTGTGTGGGTTTGGAGGTATTATCTTTCATGTAGATAATTTTATAAAAAGGATTAGATTAAAATACATACCGAATTTTTTCCTATTGACTTATATTTCTTAACAGAGAACAACAATATAACAAAGAACCATCAAACATTAAAACCGAAATAAATAAATTAATTTTAACCTCATACATTTATCTTAACATTGAAAAAAATATTAATCAAAACCTGTATCACTACAACCTTGGAAGGTTTTAGGTTCGATAGTTTGTAAGGATTTACAGTTTCAATAACAATGGTTGTGCTGGGAGGTGATTAAGCAGAGATTGCGCTCATCAAATATCCTACTTAATTAATTATTGTGCCTCAGGACGGATTCCTGATCCTCAGATCGATTCACGAATGAAGAGAATAAATAATAACCTGCTACATTCGGACTCGAGCCTGGAGCATTAAGGGTAGGAGCATAGTGCCTCACTCACTGAGCCACCCCACTTTCTTATCTTAAAAAAATATTTTAAAATATTCCAGAAGTGAATTATGTAATCATAAATTGTAGATAATAATTATTTCTAAATGTAATATTCCCTTTAAAAAGTGTTTTAACGCACTTGTTCTCGAGTCAATCATTATCAATCGATTTCCTTCGTCGCACCCTATCACTCCTATCGTCTCCAGATTATCTTCTTATCATAATCTACTCAATCGAATCTTAGATGTTGATAACATCTCTATCCAGTTACAGTTTTTACGAATGAGAAATGGTTGTTTCTGAATTCACTTATGTGTACAGTGTACATTTCTTGTCTATTCACCTATATAGGATCAATAAAGAAACGATAATCTTTATATCAAACTAAAATTATTCAAATTATTCCACCATTTTTCAGTATTTTTAATATACACTGATGGATAAAATTAATGTATCGCTTACTTTATTTTGTCTCAAATTAAGTCTGAACCATTTTCTGGAATAATTGGTAATAAGAGTTATTTTAGTCAAAATAATATTTGTATTATTACGCCTTTATATTCTGTTAAGTATATAATTCGTATTATATTTTTAAATTAGACTGTTTTTTAATTTAAAAACTAAAGTAGATACGAAATTTTAGAAAAAAAAAACTTATGAAGGAAAAGAAACTTTATTTGCGAATAATTCTAAACGTATACAATTGTTTGTTGATTGCACTCATGATTATTTGAAAGATTACTAAATTCCATACAAAAAAATCATTGAATTCAGATTTTTTTTATTGAGAAAAAATACATTTTGGCATAAAAAATACATATTGCCACAAGGGCATTGAGTATTTGAGGTGTGAGAAACTCATTCATACAATGAAATGAAATGAAAATAGCCTTTATTTATGCAATAATATTACAATTTCAAAAGCAAACAAAACAAAATAAAACAATTTTTTTTTTTTACATTATAATTTATACAAAACTTTTTACTATCTTGCACAGGCCTTCCCTTAGGAGTAATAGTCCTTAACACTTCCCTGGGTGACTAGCCCTACTGGGAAGCGGGATTTCTGACCTTTAACCATTTTTCTTTCCACTCATCTCTGTCCCTAGCTGCTCTCCACCAGAGAGGTCCTGCCAAAAGCCTAAATGGATCTCTCCATCTCTTCATTTGTCGGCCTCTCGTCCTTTTCCGGTCATATGGAGTCCATTCGGTGACTATTTTTGACCATCTATTGTCGGTGCATCGCAGGAGATGTCCAGCACATTTCCATTTGTCTTTTCTTATTTGCGAGAGTGTGTCTTTGAGCTCTGTTTCTTCTTTTATCTTCTTGCATCTGATTTTATCTATCTTTTTTACTTTCACAATGCTTCTTTCGATGCTATTTTGCCACACTTTACAATTGCCATACACTTATGTAATTGGCTTTTGTCAATGACCATGTTTGGGGGCCATAGGTCACCACTGGCATAATACACCTATCGAAAACTATCCTTTTTAGGTCGATACTTATGTTTCCTTTTGTTATGTACTTCGGAGACTAGAACTTGTTCCAACTAAATGCTATTCTTCTCTGGACTTCTGTTGTAATTCTGTCTGAAAAGGAAACTAACTGTCCCAAGTAAACATATTCCTCTACGTATTCCAGGGTGAAGTTGTTCATTTTTATTTCTTCCTTTGAACTATTGGTCATTAGTTTCGTCTTATTGTGGTTTGGGTATAAATCAATTTCTTCACAGGCCCCTAGAAGGTGTTTTAGCACTTCTCGTAATTGTCGGGAATTGTTGGCAAAAAGTACAATGTCATCTACAAAACGTAAGTTGCTTAAAAATCGACCATTCACCTTTATGTCTGCATTTTCCCATCCAAGAGACCAAAAACTCATCTCCAACACCAGAATAAACAACAAGGGAGATAACAGATCCCCCTGCCTAACACCCTTCTCGACACAAAAGATTTGACCCCTCTTTTCTGTCATTACATATACTGTCATATCTTTATATAGCTCTGCGATAATTCTCACGTATTTCTCTTCGATTCCTATTATTCTTAAAGCTTTAAGAACACCCGTCATTCATACAATATATACAATTAAAAAAACAATAGAATTCATAACAAAAGAAGAAAAAAGAAAGCTTAGTAAAACAGATCAAATAAAATATGATACAACACAAATAAAAAAAACAAAACATTCAGGCCTCTCTACAATATTTACAGTCAGCCGAGGGAGCTCCAAGTCGGGCCCTTTCCCCCACCTGTGGAAGATAAGTCGAGACTCTAAGAGATCCTAGCGCATCACTGAGATGGGAATCCCGTAGAAACTGAGAAAGGGCACTTAAACCACATACGTTCATGACTTGAGAGAAGCTGGCCATTGCCAAGACACCAATGACGTATTTACAAAAAATCTCTGGGCCACTGCCTTTTCAACCTTTGAGGAGGGTTGTAGGAATGGCTGCAGCTCGATAAGGTTTATGCTAAGGGATTAAGATGATGACAATTTGAGAAACGGAATGGAATAACGACAAGGACAATGGGATGTTAAGATCATGATATAGAGTTTTGTTTGTAATATTATAAGAAGCATTTACTATTATACGAAGGACTTTAGACTGGAAGGAATGGATGCGTTTGATGTTCGAAAATTTAGTTGTCCCCACAGTTCAAGTTCATAGGCCCAGATGGGTTTTAGTATGATCTTGTTTGTTAATATTAATAGTTTGCTTTCAATTGAGAGGTTAGATTTTCTGTTAAGTAGTCTGTATAACTGGCCAAATCGTGAGTTAAGTTCTTGTCTTTTAAGTCTGGTATGTGGGTTCCATGTTATTCTTTTGTCTGAAAGGAATCTAAGATACCGAACTGTATCTGAGATGGGAAGAGGTACTGAGTTGAAAAGGATAAGTGGACAGGATCTGCGTCGGAGGGTAAAGGTGACATGCTTGAATTTGGATTCATTGATTTTGATGCGCCAATTGTTGCACCAGGCAGATTATAATTAGCTGAGTACCAAGTTTAACTATTAAGATTTTTGAAATTCGTAATTATTTTGGTTTAAAACATTAATGGTGTTTTATAATTTTCTATTTTTTGGTCGATTACAATCACCGGAAAAATAGAAAATGATTCATTCATCTTATGATACGTTAAATTCATTTTACTATCTCACTTTACACACAAACAATTCCCTTGTTTCGTCATTTGCTCACTGACGAATACGCTTTGCTAATTATTCACACGGGACTACTAGTAATTCAATTAATCATGATATACTTTTCCGAACATGTTGACAGTAAAATTTAGCATAATGTAAAATAATATAATACAAATTGTATTATATTCTACTATTTTATCATTCCATAAAATCTTAAACAGTGACAAGTCTTCAAACACTGTTAACATAGAAAAAATCTATTTAAATTTAAAGTAAATTTTGTCTAGTTTATCATGAAGTAATTGTTAATGGCGTAAATTAAATATTTATTTAGATATTTCTTCCTATACAACAAAAGACGTGACTTATGCAGGGCCCTCGCTTGGTCCACTCCGACTTTCCCAGCCCCGATTCCACGCTCCGGTCTTTTGTAAAAGGTAACTCTCTCATTTTGTAGGAATTTCGGAACTGTGATTCTATTAGAAAAAAGTAATGTAAAAAAAAGTTTTTTTTACATAAACAAATTAATAATAGTTCACTTATGGTACTAGAAAAAAATCCCAAAAAAAAAAAAAAAAAAATGTAGTCTGTATGCACTTTTAGGATCATCATTGAAATAATGAAAGTGAGGGAAATAGAGAAGGTGTCAAGGAAATGGAAAACATTCAATATTTAATTAATAAAATATTTTTATTATCAAATCAGTCAGTTAAAAGATATTATTTAACACTGCATAAACATTTAAACATAAAACAAGAACAATAATAATAAATAAAAATAAAAATATTTGGAATCGTGAAGCATTATAATATAAATTTAATTTTTCTAGGAAAAGGAGTGAAATTTAAGTTACCACCGTGATTTTATTTTGAAACTAATTATAAGCTTTTATTAGCGTAGCCTATAATTAGTTTCAAAATAAAATCATAGTGGTAACTTAAATTTCACTCTTTTTCCACTACTTCCAAGTCAAACGGAATGACTCGCAGAATTCGCCTGTTTTGAATTTTGAAACGAATAAAGGCAGTCATTTCGTTATTGCGCACACTTTTCAAGCAGCAAATGTAACGATGCTCTTTTTTACCATCAAATCGTGCAATTATGTAACTCTCCTCCTTTGGTTGACCATAAGGATTAGCACCTGATGTTTCCTCAGTGATTAATACAGCTTGAGCTTGGATGTCTATAGGAGCTTCAGGTTCACAAATCATAGTCTCAAGAAGCGCAGATGTTTCCTCTAATGTTTGCTCATCCACTTCAAGAGGATTGGAGAGAGCAACACCAGAACTTGTTTCGTGAAATCCGATACATTTCAAACAATCAAAACAACTCAATTTGTTCATTTTTAAAATCTACCTAGAAGTTCCATTTCGGTGGTATACAACCTGGTAGTGCGTGGCATAGTGCGTTTTAACGGCGAAAGCAGCTTTGGAATCAATGATGGTATCCCAGAAATGTCTTCTGGAGCTACCACATACAGTATGACATTCCGGGTTTTTTTTTCGGAGCACTTCTATAAATATTTCGAAGCTACTGATGTCCTGCCGACATGCGACTGTTGTGTCAGCCGTTCGCTCCAAACACCCTCCGAATTCATCCACTGCACCCTTGCCGTGACCAGGAGCACAATAGTTTCACGTGGCACATTTCAATTTTGTGAAATAAAATTCTAGGGCGTTGGTTGGAAGATAAAAAACTGTCCGGTTCCTATATTGAGTGGCAGCTGAGTCGGATTGGAAGTGAACTGTGACGTTTTGTTAATTTATAGCAATGTAATAAAATAAATGGTTTAAGGTGCGCCCAAACAGCTGCAGGCCCATGATTGTTGCTCTCTGAAAGGGTACAAAATGATAGGGATTGTACTTCTTCATACACATTCTTCCTGAAATAAATTTGTACAGTGCGTAATGAAAATTTTGCCAGCTACTTCCGAAGTGAACTGACTAAATTTCCAGCTCTTACTTCATTGCGTAGTTTTCAGAAAAATCGCAGTGAATTATAACTTCATTTTCAGCCAATCGAAATTTCAAATTCTTGAGCTCTCGGAACTGGTGAATCCTGATCGCTTCATGGTGCATTCACCTTTTCTTCAAATAAATCAACTGTTGCCAGTTCGGTGAAAATATTGTTGCTTTGGCTACATGTTTCACTCAACTCTGTTTCAATTAAACTTTGAAAATATAGATATCAAAGGTCTGGTTTTATCTTATTTAAATTACAGTTTATCATATTGTGCTTTATTTCCCTCACAACATCTATTTCCCTCACTTTCGGTGTTGTGAGAGAAATAGACATGAAGGAATTAGAATTTTGAGATTGATTTGTGGTTAACAATGCACATGCATTTCAAAACAAAACAAAAAACAAATGGAGCTCTGAAATCCTTTAGAAACATGTACTTCAATGAAAATAACTCAAGAATTAAACTTACCTTCTTTGAAAAATCACTAGATGAGGGAAATAGAATGATGAATGACGTGTTTAAAAAACTTGTATTAACACGAAATTTACGAAACAAACAGAGGAAGTTACTTGCAAATAAGGTTACCCTCAGTTGGTGGGTGTTGCTAACCACATAATGTAATGAAATGTGTCTTTGTTGTTCGTTGGCAATCTTTTTTAAAAAATATGAGGGAAATACATTGAACCTATGGGACCGATCTGTTAGAGGTCATTGTTAGCAATTAGTCTCACTATCCATTTTAAAATTCGATATATTTCAACTTATCAGAGGTAAGTTAAGGAAAAGAGGTATGAAGGAGGTAAGGTAAGAAAAAGAGTAAGTTAATAATTACCGAAATGAACAAATGATTCGCTTTCAACATTACCAACTCGTGTTATGGGACACGTGAGGGAAATAGATTTTGACGTTTCGCATTCAAATTTCGTGCCAGCTACTTCCGATGTTTAAGATGAAAGCACATTTCACCTACTTTTTAGAGTCGGGTTACAAGAAATTTCATGTAGGAACCACATTCGCTTTCGGACAGGAATTCGTATGAAATGGGAGAATGACCCAAAAGTAAATTTGACTAAATAGGTAAAGAGTCCGCGGAGTAGGCCGCACAGAACTCTTCCAAATTGTTTGGTCATAATTCTATAACTCCGTTATCTATCATCAGATTTTCTGGGTTGTTCGTGTTATAGCATCATTATTAAACATGCTTCATTATCTGCTCAAGGAATATGAAATATTACCAGAAATAATAAATGAAAATACAAAAATAAGTGACACTGAGGTATTTAACGGGAAATAACTTATTATAGAATTTTTTTTTCAAGCATATAAAATTTTTGTTTCAGCTTCTAATAAAGACAATATATATTTTATCACAATAAATTTTAACTCTACAAAAAAACAATGCTCAGTGAATTGTAGAAATATACAATATATAGATATGGTGAATATTTCAAGTCGCTTTTCACTGAGAATTGTTTTTGTTTTTTATCTTGTGATAAAATTTTAAGTCTTTGAGGTGTATTCAATTGTCTACTAATATTGAAAGCATCTCATTACTTATGTTTTATTTATTATTTTATTGTAATATGTATTTTGGCCATATGTAATGTTAATTTTTATGAACAATATTATTATTCTCAAGAGGCTTTGTCCCAGAATAAAGTTGATTCTTCTATCCTACATGTGTATATATATATATATATATATATATATATATATATATATATATATATATATATATATATATATATATATATATATATATATATATATATACAATGTGTTCCGTAATTGCAAGGCACTATTTTAGGCATATGTTCACAATCACAAAATAAACAAAAAAGTTCATATTAACATATATCTCAAATTCATTTATTAAACAGATATCAAAGGTTAAAGATTATGTGTTCTTACTATTTATTTATTATTATTTCAACATTTAGAGTAACTATTCAAAGGGGTCTCCGTTTTGTTGAATGCAACATTCAACACAAAGAATCCATGCTTCTCTGGCTCTTCGTATAGCAATCAGGATGGTGTTTGATAGTTACTGCGGCTTCCTCGATCCGATTTCTTAGCTCTTCTTACGTGCCAACTGCTGCAAAATAACCCATAGACTTCATCCAGCCCCACACAAAATAATCTAATGGCATTAAATCCGGAGATCATGGTGGCCATTTAACAGGTCCGTTTTGACTAACCCATCGGTATCTATAAGTTGCACTTAAATAAGCAGTGACACTATTAGAAAAGTGAGCTGGAGCACCGTCATGCAGAAACCACAGCCTTTGCCTAACGGCTAGCGGAATATCTTCTAGGAGTTCATGAAGATTATTTTGCAAAGAAATGCTAGTAAGATATACCTGACAGCCTAGGTGGCAAAACGATTATGTTGTTCTTAGAACACCACACCAGACATTTAAAGAAAAGGTATGTTGATAATATCCAACAGCAGTCGTATGAGGGTTTTCTTCAGTCCAAGTACGGGTATTTCGAAAATACTCCCGTTTCTTCTAAAGCAAGATTCATCAGTAACCAAAATGCAGTCCTGGAAGGCTTGTTATAATCTTGTGGTAACAAATCTTGCCTACTCGATACCTGAAATAGATACAATTGTTGTTCGCGTAAAGTCACTCTCGTGACTATTTTATATCCATTGTTTCATATATCAGGTTGCCGGGCAACGGCGGTGCTGTGCACACATGTTAGCCCTTTCGGCTACCCCGCCCACTAATCAATGAGTTTGAGATACATATGTTAATATAAAATTTTTGTTAATTTTGAGTTAGTGAACACATACCTAAATTGTGTACGGAGGTGGATAAGGAATTCCAAAACATAGAAGCACGCATCATAAAGGATTTTTTAAAGGATGCAGGTTAGAAATATATAGGTTTGTGGGCGGGGATCTTATCTTTAGAGAATGGACAGAAGAACAAGGAATAATAAGTAACATTTCATTAATATTCTGAAAATACTATCAACGTTTCATTTTCGTTTGACGCTCAGGTGTCTCATGTTCGGTTTTAAATACGTGCAGAAGCGTCATAGATAGTAAAAGTGATATCACTTGAATACTAATTTGTCTGATAGCTTTCTCTGACATTATTTCTCTAAGTCAATGTAGAAAAAATTAGGTTATATTCAGCGTTTTTATGACGTTAATTGTTCTCTTTCTGTGACCATATTTCATTTTTTAGACTCTCTGTGGATATACCTGTTTTTTTGTAGGTATTATATATCCAAAGAATGATGAAACTCGTAAACTAATTACTTACATGTTTTAACCATCGTGGGGAGAGAAAGATGAGGGGTGAAGCATTTAAAAAAAAAAAATCAACTGTAAATTAAAAATGGAAACTATACCGATACCCAAAGGACAGTTAACCGCGTTAAGTGGGCGGGGTAGCCGAATGAGCTAAAGCGCGTGCAATGCACCGCCGTTGCCTGGCAACCTGACATATGAATTTAAAGATATAGAAATAGTCACGAGTTCGCGTCCCGGTGCCGGGGGAGTCTTTTAAATCCCCGCTCACACTCCCTGGCCCGGGAAAATCCCGTATAGCCTTAACGGCGAGGAAGGGAAGGACCAAAAAAAAAAAAAAAAAAAAAAAAAAAAAAAAAAAAAAAAAAAAAAAAAAAAAAAAAAAAAAAAAAAAAAAAAAAAAAAAAAAAAAAAGTTAACCGCGTTACGAGCAACGAGAATCTATGTCCTCACTGAAAATGAGTTTTCTTAGTTATTCAGTAAGGACAATTACCCGCGGTTCAAGAAATTCATAAATGGGTGGAAGATTGCGATGGGGCCAGGTCCAGCTCACTTGTTTGGTCTTTTAAGTATATGAAAAAAGTAAATGAAACTTTAAGCCAGAATAAATGCTCAACAATGGAAATTATTTGTAATTGTGGGTGTGATGAATCAGGATCAGTTAATCATGATGACTGTGATAGCAATTATTTTTAAAGCTCTTTGGTACATTTCCAATTAAATTGCAGCATAGGCTAAAAGAAAATTAGAGGTAAAGTAGGAATATGACACTCTCTTCTCGCCATTGCAAGAGATATACAATATAACAGGATATGTAATATGTGATAGGAAATACAATCTTATACTATTCTCATAAGATTTGTTCAAAAAATACTGAAATAACAAAAGAAAAAATAATTTCCTTGATATCCAAAGTAAGAAAAATTAATTTAAAATCATTGGCGTTAAGAATAATAGGCGTTTACAATGATAGACACCAACGTGTGCACTGGCGTAACTAATAGGGAGGTTCCTCAAAACATTTTTACAATGTGTTAGGAAAAAAAGAAATACAAGAACTCTAAGCAAATTCCAATATAGTTTGTTAATATTACATGTTCGTACAAACTTGTTCAAAA